ATATATATATATAGGATGGTTCAACATGTCCGCAAGTTTGAGTTGACGGAGGAAACTTATAATAACAATGACTGTTAATAGAATAGATAGTAATAAGAAAGAGAAGGGACGTCAAAAATAAAGCGGTTACACTGAAGCCATAAACAAGTTATTCCCTTTCAAGTTGAACACTACAATGACTGTAGCAATAATAGATAGTAATAAGAAAGAGAAGGGACGTCAAAAATAAAGCGGTTACACTGAAGCCATAAACAAGTTATTCCCTTTCAAGTAAGGTTGAACACTTTCCACATGACCTTGGGATTCTTCTTGATACCTTCAAGCGAAACAGTATTTTCATTCGTCATCATACTCGTAACAACTATTCATGAGACGTACTGAGGTTTTATATTTTATTTTCTGCAATGACTGGTGGGTTCCCATCCCAAACGTTGAGTGTCCGTCCAATGTCACTGACATCCACTTTGCTAATGTCCCTAAACTCGTCTCAAGCCTTGCCCTCCTTCCCACCACAAACAATCCATAAGAGGTTGCTTAATACCTCCTGTGTTCAGCGGAAACTCGGTACTCCAAAACGGTTAGGGTCATTATACACTCAAGTTTTAGTCGTATTACTATGATGTGACCAATCTCCTATTCCCCCGATAACTTTCAGTCCTTGGCTACTCTGTCCATTGATTCATTGGTTCGATTTCTTCGCATAACTTTTCAGGATTCTTCTGATTGTATATTGTCGGGTATTACACAAACTTTCTAGAATTCCTTGTGGAATCCCTCACGGAAAATAAAAGCGTGCCCAACCATCGAAAAAGACTTGAATTTGGGAGGCCTTTGCACTTTGAGTTTAGTAACTATCTAATCATGTAGTTGATTGGAACGCGTCACTCAGTTTATGTTATTGCATTGGGCTAGTAGTAAAACGTGCTGTCAAATTTAGTAACTTTTATCAGAAGAATGTCATCGAAGCGTAAGATTCGGCAGATCAACTCAACCAGCTGACTGTGTGCATTCTGATCGCACCGCACAGCTGAACGTTTCCACTCAAAGTCAGTTCGTTAAAGGGGTGAGCACAGTTGCGTCGTATGGGTTTAAAGATAGTATCATTTTGGCAAGATACACACATATGAAAGCCAATTTGGTTTTACGGGAGACTTGCCTGCACCAGGCTGCCTGATATTTCAGTGGATGCGATTTTCGAGATATCGCGATAGGTGCATGGTGAACGTAATATACTACTCATAAGGTTGCTGAAACTACTTCGACAGCCAACGACTCAGGGACTTCACCTACCTGATGAGCCTCAAGGAGGGCGTAACCTAACTAAAAACCACAAAATTCAATTTTTTGCTATCAAAAATGATTCCCACTAATTCTAAAGATGTCTTGGTCATGTGACACGAATCGGTCGATCCAATCGATCGGCAGCCCTCTAAACCACTTTCCAGCATCCAGTCAGCGGAAACTTGAGTTACCCTGGTAAATAGTTGTCCGTACTACTCCGATTTTAATTTGTCGACAAAAGTTAATTACGTACTAATCTCACAACGGGATCCTGAGAGCACTAACTTTGTCACGCTGTGTTCTTGTTGAAACTATGAAAATATTCGAACAATTCAATTGCGGCTCTTCTCGAGTCTTCAAGATGATACAGTGGCTCGTTTCTCGTATTGTTGTATAAGATAAATACAGTTCAACGTCTTCACTTGATCGAATCCGTCGCAGAATGTCATGCTTCCGCTCCGCGTGTTGTACCTCCGCGCACCCTTTTTGGACATAAAGTGATCAAAGATAAAGAAGGTCTTATCCTTGGATGACCGCTTAATGTTGTTTTTTTTCGCGTACACATCTTAGTCCCACTGCGTACCAAACAAAGGGTTTCAGAGTTACTGCATAAGGTATAAAGTTTATCACTTTCGCACACCGCACTTTGGCACTCGGGCTGTGATTTCACTCATGCTCTTGACGTAAGGTAGAATGCATATAACAGTATACGTTTCTGTCGGGTTGAACATCTAGATCGATCAAAACTATCACACAATTGTAAGCGAACGCTACGAAGCAGTTCTCCGATTCCCATAATATACCTCACCTTCCATTAAACATGAGGCTGAATTACGAGGAATCCACATACTACTCGCATGCCTCATTAGTAGTATGCGCTGCTACACTAGTAGCGTAGTTGTATTTTCTCGTCACAGGAAACTGTCTGTAGTCCACAGTATGATGCACTTAATCTTGCTGATGCATTGCTTTAGACTTGCATCTGAAAATTGTTCCCCGGTCTTACTTCATTTTGGAAGGAATTCGAGTTTCCCAACACTTAGTTGTAATCACAGGGATCTTGGGCCTGTGTGGATTTATGCTTTTAACGAACACACAGTCGAGACTAGATTGGCTTCGGTTTCACGAATTCTATGGAAGGAGAATTTTTCGGTGAATTTCTGTCACTGTTCAGGAGAAACAGGAGAAACAGAGCGCTCATTGGCTAGATTTCGGTAAAAATCCGTGCCGATCAATAAATCCTGTCTAGACATTCGCGGACAATTCAAATTCTCTGAGTTGAAAAAGATCATTGACCAAGCAATAGTTGAGTTAACGCTAAAAGATCTTCCCTGAAATGGGCCAATGTGGGCCATCGATCTTCCTCTGGGTAATTCCCTGGTAGGCTATGCGGGAAGGGCATACCATACTACTCATAGGATTAGTGAAAACTATTCAAAAGCCCAAGATCGGTTTCGTGTTTACTGGGCTCATCAGGTAGGCGCGATCTGTCGGCTATCTGCCAACCTTGTGTTCTACTTGAACCCAAAGTGGACAGGTTTGGACAAATACTCGCATTCATATATGAGCTCGGTTTTCACAGAACACTCACCTTAATCCAACTGAATCTCTTATTTATGACAGTCCGTTTCAAGGGATGCGCGTATTAGCTGACCATGAAGGAAGGCGAGACCAGTTATGGGCTATCGGAAATTTCAGCAACCTTGTGAGTAGTCCGTAACGTCTAAACGAAAACGTGTTGCGGTATCTTCAATATCTTACCAACTGAAGTCCAAGGCGGTCCGGTGTATCACATTCAATTGGAGTGAACCGTCACAAAACGAGGGAGTTCCTTGGATTCAGCTTCCCAGATTACGCTACTCACGGAGACCTAGAAGTCGCACGACAAGATATTTCCGCTGAAGCATCGATACGATACTCTCCTTATCAAGTACTTACACATGTACTACGACCTAACCGATTCATAAAATCACCCCAAAGTAGAAACAAACCGGGGTTGTCTACTCTGTGGAAAAATGATGTAAAGTTGTTAGGTCCATTGAAACAAAGGCACTTTTCAAAACGCACATAACCGGTCTTTCTACTATTTTATGTAGCCTACTAGCCTATATTTCAATAATAGGATATCTGAAAACTCAGCAAACGCTGACATTAACATGAGACATGAAAGGCTTACAGTTCTTCCGTGGCATCTATGGAGTTCGTGCCGCAACGCCAGCGTCTCATGTGGCGCCCTGTACACCACCAATCACGTGATCAATAATCCACGTTCTGTCGGTCGATCTACCCAGGAGTCGGATTCACCGTCTTGAACATGTCTGTTTATATCCAAACCAGCGTACTAAGTGTAGTACTTTACTCCTCGGTGCAGAACGGATTGACGGCAGTCTACAAATCAGTACTTTTCTGGCGGCGACATCCGTCTTCGCCTAGTTTGTTTAGACCTAAATGCTCCCTACAATATTTATGGAGGAATGACGCGTTAGCCCGGAGTTATTCGGTGCTTTACTGATATCATGATAGCCGAATGGTTTCCTGTAGGTAGGCTAATCTTTCAAGAGAAGCTAAATAGGCTTTTCTGACTATATACTCCTGCTCAGCGAGTTGCCGTATGGGAAAAACGTAGATTCTAAAAGTCTGCCGTCGACTCGTTCGCATTCGCAAGACTCGTTGGGGTATTTTGGGTTGCCATAAACCGGCTGATGGTTGCTGAGTACCGCGATAGCTTTTTCTGCTTTTTTTGGTTTAATTTAACCATTAATTAAATTAATTAATTAAAAAATGAATACATTTGTGGTGGTGTGGTTTCCGTGGCTGATCCAATGAGGGCCCTCTGTTACTGTACCTCCAAATACGAACAGGTTTCCTAAATGTGCTTCATTCAATAACAGTGTGACCCTTCCTCGTGTCGCACAGCCCTATTCGGAATCACACGAGTACACGAAAACGATGCGCCAATGCAATCATGCTACAGTCAGATCTATAAAAATCCAAAATATCTCCGAAGCGTCCCTGAGACGATAGGCCAACTAAAACCCGAAAGCAATTCACACCCAAAACACTTAATGCAGCAGACGAGTTTGTAACACAAATATTTCCCGGCTGATGCCTCAATAAAACGCATCTACCTGGCTGTCGGAACCTGGGTATCACAAAAATTGACATGAGAACTTTCGGTATAGTATGAAATATCAAGATAAAAACTTCAGTAGAAAATTGTTTGTAAAAGATGGTTTTTGGAACTTGAAACTTTCGGAAACACCACTCAACAGACATTCCATCCTCTAGAACGTTTGGAACTGCTTAGGTTTTCTACACACACTTATCAAAGTTTGTTACGTAATGCTGCGTGAGTGAATTGTTGGATCACTAACACAGTGAAAATCAATAGTGACAACAATGGCAGGCTTTTGACATAGCCGTGTGGAAATGATTTGGTTAGGTGGGGCCCGGTTAGCCAATTCTGAACGATCGATAAAATACCGTTTGTGAGTTTATTTGACGCACAAGAAGAGTCATCATTTCCATTTGGTGATGAGGTATATTGTAATTCACAGTAAGTCAGAAGAACGCGTAAGCACGGACACGGGTGTGTTGGGTACACGCGGCCAAACTGGTCCGCTTTCGTGGCAGGCAAGCATCCAGTCAACCCACAGCGCTCACGCGAGCCAACCAATCGGACACACATCCAATCAGCCACTCAAGTCACATGTCAGATCGATGGTGGAACGACGAACGGACACACACACGCGCAAACTCTCTGACACACCGAAGCAGCAACTACAAGGTATCAAAAGACTTTCACTGAAGTAGCCACATAAACCCCACAACCCGGCTAAATACTTCGCACGAGTTCCCTACCCAATCACAGACTGGTGGAATTTTCCAGTAATCCAAGTACGTGTTGTATCGTGAGTGGCCGTCTATGGGTTACGCCTGCACTGAGCCTGCCAGACTACGCGATAGGGAGAAGACAGAGAACTGGGGACACGGTTGTGTTGCCAGGACAAAACATACAGAGCGTCTGCGTAATTTATAGGATGACTAAGTAGCCAAATATGGTCGTTCACTTGTTCGCTCCGTACAGCCAGCCCATGGCGCTGTTCCGGTCGTGAACAGTCTCAGGCCCACTACGCTGGTCCTATGTTGCTAAGCCGTGTTTGGTGCGAGCCGCCAACTCACCTAATTTCCGGAAGTGTCGAACCAATGGTGAGCTTGGGGATGCGTCACTCTCTGCACGTGCTTTTTTCTGTCTGGGCGCGTCCTGACAGTACCTTTACATTCCGACCTGTAGGGCATCTTTTAGTATCATCGGAGAAAACGCCGTGGCAAAAGTGATCAAAATAAAACAGCCTAGTTTCCGAAATCTCGTCAAATTGATCGTTTTCACCCCTCTTGGAAGTCATCAGATAGGTAGGTAGGTAGGCTCCCGATTTTCTGTCCTATCTGTACACTTAAATTTTACTCAACTTTGTTTTAACAGGAGAACCAATCCACTCCCAACCAGCCAACGTCTCAACTGAAGTAGGTTCATACGAATTTGAACCTCGATGAAACAGCATATAGGGAATCCATATTGATAAAATCCAACAAACTACTCTCAAAATCAGTAGTACACTTTTGGTCCAATAACTGAAGTGTATGAAACATTTCTGGGACGACACATTTGTAGCATAATTTTCTTTTTTCTTCAACTTCATTTCCTATTCCGGTAGCCATCGATCCATCATAGTTTCATCCCCAGGTTCTGTGCGATGGAACAGGCTCACGCGATGCTCACCAGACATGTGACTACCTGCACAACACAAGTCGAACGACACCGTGGTCAGCTGTTTTGTCGGTATTCACCGTGACCTCGAACGATGAAATCCAAACCTCGGATAATCGTAAGATTTCAGTCAAGCCACTCCCCAGAATGTGTGTTCAAATCGCACTGGTAAGAGACTGAATTTGTGCCACAGTCGAGTCGAGTCTGGTTATGATTTCATATCTGCTCTTTGTCTAGTCAAAGTATTTACCAACAAAATTTTGTGTTGTCCTCATTAACTTTTCATCAGACTGATCCTCTATGGTGGGCTTGGTGAATCATTGTAAGGACTGCACCGGTAGCGGATGACATCTTCAGAAATATGTATGATGACTGGCGAAGTACACTCATTTCCATACAAATTCGGTTTTCAAGAAACTCACCTGGAACCCAATTGGATCCCTCGTTTGTGATTTTTCCATACAGCTGAATGTGCTGCACCAGGCTACCTCATGTTTCAGTCGCTACGATATTCGAGATATCGCGACACATATATTTGTACCACACTACTCATAAGGTTGTTGAGGAGGCTGTCGAGGAGTTTTCAGCAACCTTATGAGTAGTGCATTAAAACATATATTCTTCAGAAATATGTATGATGACTGGCGAAGTACACTCATTTCCATACAAATTCGGTTTTCAAGAAACTCACCTGGAACCCAATTGGATCCCTCGTTTGTGATTTTTCCATACAGCTGAATGTGCTGCACCAGGCTACCTCATGTTTCAGTCGCTACGATATTCGAGATATCGCGACACATATATTTGTACCACACTACTCATAAGGTTGTTGAGGAGGCTGTCGAGGAGTTTTCAGCAACCTTATGAGTAGTGCATTACAAACATATATATGTATGTTGACCTTTTGTCCGGAGACGAATTCCCTTGGTTCGGTTTCTTTAAACCTGTCAACGGAAGCAATGAAAATGATGTCTACATACTGAGGTTTGTAGAATCGAAAAAATGGAAGTTACCTCCATGTTATGTTGGATTTATCTGTGTGCGGAAGCCCAGGCTAAATCAAAATTTTCGTTTGTGAGCTTCGCTATGCTGATGTCAAGAGAACTCCTGCAATGTGAAGTTAACAATTTTACTTAAAGTGAGTGGTAATTCAATAAATTAGGTGATTAAGATTCGAATTTATCAATCGGAAAGTTCGTGGTTAGAACCCAAACGCGGCATCTCGTCTGCTTCTGCCTAGACTTGAGGAAACTGACAGTCAGTCAGTAGTGGTCAGTCACGTAGACAAAAGTTTGTCTGTCATGAGGAGGTAGCAAAGTCACGTGACACAAATAGTCACTCTATTGCTCAGTAGTATTGTCACGCTCAATTTCCGCTGAGTACACCCAGCTTGCTTAGAACGTTCGATGGGGTTACAAAAGAATTTCTTAAGCGGGATGATGGAATGATATAAGTTGTGTCTACATCCACCCGTCTGCATCTCAATTCTGTCCAGTTTTCTGACACCTCATGCAAACGCGTATGTCTTGCCACCAGATGGCTGCAATGACCTCAACATGCAAAGGCTTTTGGAATTACACGTCGAGCCCAACAAGTATACCGCACATTTTCAGCTAGTTTCTTGACGAAGTAAGATGAACAACCCGTGCAAAATATGGAGACAGGTATTGCCAATACCAGAATCTCTTTACGTTATCCGCTACACGAAGTTTCCTGTCACGTTAGAGTTACTCACAGTAATTCCTCTGACGGGTCTTAAGTATTCCTTCAGATTTCCAGTTCTCAGGTGCCCTTTTATGGGTGTAATATTATCTCTTTCAGGGACTGTCGAAGAAGGGCCACCATTGAAAGATATCTTCCAAAGTTTATAAGATTTTTCCGTTTCTGGAGAGGTAGCATCGTCGAAAAATGAAGCAAAAAGCGCGCTGGACAGTCTGAGTGGCACCTTGGGGTGACACCTATGAAAGGCGAACGCATACACCTACAGGCTCTAAAGGTTAGCTGAAAGAGCTCAACGAACGTCAGATACACGACCTCGTATGCTTCAGAGAATAAGATCCAGCTTCAGATCCTGTAGTGCCATCCACTTGACGTTTTTGAAAAAAAAACAGGGTGATTATGATGTATTTTTTACAATGGGTGTGCACCGTTTATTGGTTTGATTTCATGTCACCTTGTATACTAGTTCAGCTAAATTCAACGCCGGCATCAATAGTTGCGACATTCGGGAAACAGAGGCTCAAAAGCCGGATATCCATGAGAGGAATGTTCAAGCACACTAAACTGAAAAAAATTGAGCATTATGTCGACGTAAGAATCTAGGAACGCAACGAATTTGGCATCCAAACTGACATACCTGAAAGACGTATAGTAGCCTGGCAATCTCGTTGGAAAGCAAGGTCAGATTAGACACCGGTTACATGTGGGACTTGAGAACTATTCAGGGTCACGTAAATCCTCCGTTTGGGGGCGGCCGGATTCATTTCAACTTGTCGCCTCACAGGTTTTAATAGATCTTGGTTTGTTGTGCACAAAAAGTGGTTCTGGTATCACGAGGCATTGCCATTGGTTCAGGCTCTACGGATGGTTAATCGTGCTTCCTCTAAATCTGGCGACATCGTCATTATTAGGAGAAACAGCTCCGAATGTAACGAGACTACGTAACAGCCAATGGAATAACCGTTTTCGTTGAGACAGATTTCATTGGTTGTTCTCCACTCGCCCTTGACAGATGAGCTGTGCTCTAAGTATCACTATTTTGTCCCGCTTGTACGCGACAGTGATCAATGGAGCAGCTGGCTCGCACGTTCGTTGACTTTTCTGGTTTGGCTAAGCGCACCAGGCTATCAATCGGCTATTCAGACCGGGGTTCACGGTAATGAGAAGGCATTAAAGAGGCTGTGGTCCACAACAGTCATCAGGAAGACAGTGTGTACCACTGAACAGAATTTTCATGATTCTTCCAGTCACGGTTGAATTCCGGGTCATTCTGTAGCTGTCGTTTTTGACCACACACGTGATCACCAAATTAAATCTACGTTGATATAATATTAGCTGATAAATTAAGATGATGTGTACCAATTTAAACCGCACATTTTACATAATAATCGAAATGCCACATCTAGACGGCCTTGTGTCTCAATTCAAGCATGCTGTTTCAAATTCTGAAATCTCCAAGTACTCAATTTGGGGGCGGTCGGATTCATTTAACCTTCTCTCCTCATTGTTTTTTTTGGTAGATATTGGTTTGCTGTGCGCAGTACGTCCCAAACTATTTAAGCTGACGGGTCGTTTTCTGTCTCCGGTGATGCACAAATCCCCTGCGAGCTCGTTGCAGCCAGTGTTGACCTCGCATGCTACGATCACCTGTTGAGAGACCGAAAACAATAGGTTAATGCTTTAACTAAAAGGGATCACAGATGCGTCTCTTTCCTGGCACCGTGTGGCTAAAATACATTTGGGACGCGAATCCTTAAATTTTCTGTTGTTAGTTGTGGCCTTCAAATGACCTTGACTTGTCATGGGAGTTGATTGACAAATAGCAACCAAGCTAAGGTTTTGGACAGATACATAAGCGTTTTTCAATTTAAAATATGAAATTGCTGGCCCTTGGAAACAAATAGCTGCTAAAATGACAACAATAGGCGTTGTCCAGGCCACTGGATATGTTAAGCGGTTTGCTGTCAAGCCACACCAAATTTTTGCTTAAAATCAGTAATGTTCTCTAGGGGTTGTACTATATTGATACCTGGAAGCGAGCTCATTTGAAAGCCACTGAATATTTTGATGATGAGAACGACTCCTGGAAGGCTTCTCTAGTTGTTGCGCCAATTTTTCACCACCCGGTGCATTGTCTTTGGGTCCTTCCAATACCCCAAATCAAGGAGCCTTCCTAAGAGACCACCTTTAACATCCTTCTCCTATTCAAAAGGGTGATTGATATTAGTTATCTCACCAATAATATTTCAAAAATACGGACTTTACATTGGTGAATTGTCGTTTTACTGTTTTACTACTCTTTAGTATTACCGTAAATCTCAAGCTGTTGGCATAAACTAACAACTACTCTATGACAAATGCACTAATTTGCAAATCAATTTTGTTTTCACGGGAGACTCAAGTGAATCTCTCGTTTATAATGTTAATCAACTGAATATGCTACGCGCAGGTAGGCTCATGTTTTAGTTGGCACGATATTCGAGATGTCGCAGTATATTTTCATAATGGAAACTACTCACAAGGTTGCTGAAAACTCATTGACAGCCCACGACCGGTTTTGCCCTTCTTGGGACTCTTCGGGTAGGAGCAGTTCCCGAGTTTCCGTCAACCTTATGTTCCACTTGAACCCAAGGTGTACCGATTGGACAGTTACACTAATTTGCAACTCAATCTGGTTTTCACGGGTGTCTCGAGTGAATCTCCAATTTATGATGTTCTCCAACTTAATGTGCTTCAAACAGGTCGCCTCATGTTTCAGCTGGTACGATATTCAAGACCGCGCCTACCTGGTGAGCCCCAAGATGGGCGAGACCTGTCGTGGGCTGTCGATGAATTTTCAGCAACCTTGCGATATATCTTGTTTCAACAGCTACTCTGTTGAAGGTGCATTTATTCACAAAGCGCGGTGGAACTGAATGATCGGATGTACTAGAGATACGCACCAATTCTCGTTTTTACGTTTTCTGGTTTCACGCCAGATATCCGCTTTTGTCAAGCTGCGTACGACCTTGAGAGTAACGCTCATGTATGTCGGCAGATGGTCGAAATGTGGCCCTATTTGCCAGAAACACACAGTTGGCCATCTTGTATTAACACCTAAAATTCGCAGTTGTCCATTTAACGATGAGTTTTTGTTAGATAATTTTCACTCAAACTTGTTGCAACCAGCTGTTTTTCCGGAGGTTTCAACCATTCCGATACTTGAAACTCACCAACATTCACTAAGCTTGTTTAATTACTTACTCACGTACTCGCTTACCTACTTAATTATTTACTGACCTATTCACTTATTTACTTGTCTAACTCACTAACTCGCTTACCTACTCACTTATTTACTAACTTATTCACTTATTTGCTTACTTACTTATTATCATTTATTTTTGAAAAGCATGGTCACAAACATAAAAAGTGAATGCAAGCGATGAATGCGGAAGAGTAACAGGAGAATATGGGTGAAAAGAGAGAAACGTCTCATTCGAAATCATGCCAAGAAAAGTTCCAGTCTGATGAGATGAATCCCAAAGTATGTAAAGATTTTGGTATGGAAACACGCGTCTAAAGACCAACAACCGAAGAAAGTACAAACAATGGTGAATGCTCTTCAAGGCACGGTAGGCACAGTCAAGACTCACACTTCAGGCACAAAGTGCCCGTCATACTGGGTCTGGTGTGAGATTAAATGGAAAAGATGTACCTTCAATGCCATGTGCCACGCATAAAGGTGTCATAAGTACGCAGAGAGCCCACAATGGCAAGCAAACACAAGTCACTGACTGTGACCTTAGGAAGTCCCAGTCCAATAACAGCCTTAGCGGATTAAGGAAAGCAGATCCCTCGATAATAGATGATCATCGGTTGGTGAACCAAGAAGTCGACATAACAACCGATGGCATGTAGGGCTGAGATTATGGCCAGGGCATATTCACCAGCACCATACTTCTGCTTCTCCCGACCTAAAGCTGCCACCTTGACGTGGTGGTCGGGGTTCAGTGCTGCAGAGATTCCGCTGGCTACACCTTACTTTACTTACTTACTTACTTACTTACTTTACTTACTTACTTACTTACTTACTTTACTTACTTACTTACTTACTTACTTACTTTACTTACTTACTTACTTACTTACTTTACTTACTTACTTACTTACTTACTTTACTTACTTACTTACTTACTTACTTTACTTACTTACTTACTTACTTACTTTACTTACTTACTTACTTACTTACTTTACTTACTTACTTACTTACTTACTTTACTTACTTACTTACTTACTTACTTTACTTACTTACTTACTTACTTACTTTACTTACTTACTTACTTACTTACTTTACTTACTTACTTACTTACTTACTTACTTTACTTACTTACTTACTTACTTACTTTACTTACTTACTTACTTACTTACTTTACTTACTTACTTACTTACTTACTTTACTTACTTACTTACTTACTTACTTTACTTACTTACTTACTTACTTACTTTACTTACTTACTTACTTACTTACTTTACTTACTTACTTACTTACTTACTTTACTTACTTACTTACTTACTTACTTTACTTACTTACTTACTTACTTACTTTACTTACTTACTTACTTACTTACTTACTTTACTTACTTACTTACTTACTTACTTTACTTACTTACTTACTTACTTACTTTACTTACTTACTTACTTACTTACTTTACTTACTTACTTACTTACTTACTTTACTTACTTACTTACTTACTTACTTTACTTACTTACTTACTTACTTACTTTACTTACTTACTTACTTACTTACTTTACTTACTTACTTACTTACTTACTTTACTTACTTACTTACTTACTTACTTTACTTACTTACTTACTTACTTACTTACTTTACTTACTTACTTACTTACTTACTTTACTTACTTACTTACTTACTTACTTTACTTACTTACTTACTTACTTACTTTACTTACTTACTTACTTACTTACTTTACTTACTTACTTACTTACTTACTTTACTTACTTACTTACTTACTTACTTTACTTACTTACTTACTTACTTACTTTACTTACTTACTTACTTACTTACTTTACTTACTTACTTACTTACTTACTTTACTTACTTACTTACTTACTTACTTACTTTACTTACTTACTTACTTACTTACTTTACTTACTTACTTACTTACTTACTTTACTTACTTACTTACTTACTTACTTTACTTACTTACTTACTTACTTACTTTACTTACTTACTTACTTACTTACTTTACTTACTTACTTACTTACTTACTTTACTTACTTACTTACTTACTTACTTTACTTACTTACTTACTTACTTACTTTACTTACTTACTTACTTACTTACTTTACTTACTTACTTACTTACTTACTTACTTTACTTACTTACTTACTTACTTACTTTACTTACTTACTTACTTACTTACTTTACTTACTTACTTACTTACTTACTTTACTTACTTACTTACTTACTTACTTTACTTACTTACTTACTTACTTACTTTACTTACTTACTTACTTACTTACTTTACTTACTTACTTACTTACTTACTTTACTTACTTACTTACTTACTTACTTTACTTACTTACTTACTTACTTACTTTACTTACTTACTTACTTACTTACTTACTTTACTTACTTACTTACTTACTTACTTTACTTACTTACTTACTTACTTACTTTACTTACTTACTTACTTACTTACTTTACTTACTTACTTACTTACTTACTTTACTTACTTACTTACTTACTTACTTTACTTACTTACTTACTTACTTACTTTACTTACTTACTTACTTACTTACTTTACTTACTTACTTACTTACTTACTTTACTTACTTACTTACTTACTTACTTTACTTACTTACTTACTTACTTACTTACTTTACTTACTTACTTACTTACTTACTTTACTTACTTACTTACTTACTTACTTTACTTACTTACTTACTTACTTACTTTACTTACTTACTTACTTACTTACTTTACTTACTTACTTACTTACTTACTTTACTTACTTACTTACTTACTTACTTTACTTACTTACTTACTTACTTACTTTACTTACTTACTTACTTACTTACTTTACTTACTTACTTACTTACTTACTTTACTTACTTACTTACTTACTTACTTACTTTACTTACTTACTTACTTACTTACTTTACTTACTTACTTACTTACTTACTTTACTTACTTACTTACTTACTTACTTTACTTACTTACTTACTTACTTACTTTACTTACTTACTTACTTACTTACTTTACTTACTTACTTACTTACTTACTTTACTTACTTACTTACTTACTTACTTTACTTACTTACTTACTTACTTACTTTACTTACTTACTTACTTACTTACTTTACTTACTTACTTACTTACTTACTTACTTTACTTACTTACTTACTTACTTACTTTACTTACTTACTTACTTACTTACTTTACTTACTTACTTACTTACTTACTTTACTTACTTACTTACTTACTTACTTTACTTACTTACTTACTTACTTACTTTACTTACTTACTTACTTACTTACTTTACTTACTTACTTACTTACTTACTTTACTTACTTACTTACTTACTTACTTTACTTACTTACTTACTTACTTACTTTACTTACTTACTTACTTACTTACTTACTTTACTTACTTACTTACTTACTTACTTTACTTACTTACTTACTTACTTACTTTACTTACTTACTTACTTACTTACTTTACTTACTTACTTACTTACTTACTTTACTTACTTACTTACTTACTTACTTTACTTACTTACTTACTTACTTACTTTACTTACTTACTTACTTACTTACTTTACTTACTTACTTACTTACTTACTTTACTTACTTACTTACTTACTTACTTTACTTACTTACTTACTTACTTACTTACTTTACTTACTTACTTACTTACTTACTTTACTTACTTACTTACTTACTTACTTTACTTACTTACTTACTTACTTACTTTACTTACTTACTTACTTACTTACTTTACTTACTTACTTACTTACTTACTTTACTTACTTACTTACTTACTTACTTTACTTACTTACTTACTTACTTACTTTACTTACTTACTTACTTACTTACTTTACTTACTTACTTACTTACTTACTTTACTTACTTACTTACTTACTTACTTACTTTACTTACTTACTTACTTACTTACTTTACTTACTTACTTACTTACTTACTTTACTTACTTACTTACTTACTTACTTTACTTACTTACTTACTTACTTACTTTACTTACTTACTTACTTACTTACTTTACTTACTTACTTACTTACTTACTTTACTTACTTACTTACTTACTTACTTTACTTACTTACTTACTTACTTACTTTACTTACTTACTTACTTACTTACTTTACTTACTTACTTACTTACTTACTTACTTTACTTACTTACTTACTTACTTACTTTACTTACTTACTTACTTACTTACTTTACTTACTTACTTACTTACTTACTTTACTTACTTACTTACTTACTTACTTTACTTACTTACTTACTTACTTACTTTACTTACTTACTTACTTACTTACTTTACTTACTTACTTACTTACTTACTTTACTTACTTACTTACTTACTTACTTTACTTACTTACTTACTTACTTACTTTACTTACTTACTTACTTACTTACTTACTTTACTTACTTACTTACTTACTTACTTTACTTACTTACTTACTTACTTACTTTACTTACTTACTTACTTACTTACTTTACTTACTTACTTACTTACTTACTTTACTTACTTACTTACTTACTTACTTTACTTACTTACTTACTTACTTACTTTACTTACTTACTTACTTACTTACTTTACTTACTTACTTACTTACTTACTTTACTTACTTACTTACTTACTTACTTTACTTACTTACTTACTTACTTACTTACTTTACTTACTTACTTACTTACTTACTTTACTTACTTACTTACTTACTTACTTTACTTACTTACTTACTTACTTACTTTACTTACTTACTTACTTACTTACTTTACTTACTTACTTACTTACTTACTTTACTTACTTACTTACTTACTTACTTTACTTACTTACTTACTTACTTACTTTACTTACTTACTTACTTACTTACTTTACTTACTTACTTACTTACTTACTTTACTTACTTACTTACTTACTTACTTACTTTACTTACTTACTTACTTACTTACTTTACTTACTTACTTACTTACTTACTTTACTTACTTACTTACTTACTTACTTTACTTACTTACTTACTTACTTACTTTACTTACTTACTTACTTACTTACTTTACTTACTTACTTACTTACTTACTTTACTTACTTACTTACTTACTTACTTTACTTACTTACTTACTTACTTACTTTACTTACTTACTTACTTACTTACTTTACTTACTTACTTACTTACTTACTTACTTTACTTACTTACTTACTTACTTACTTTACTTACTTACTTACTTACTTACTTTACTTACTTACTTACTTACTTACTTTACTTACTTACTTACTTACTTACTTTACTTACTTACTTACTTACTTACTTTACTTACTTACTTACTTACTTACTTTACTTACTTACTTACTTACTTACTTTACTTACTTACTTACTTACTTACTTTACTTACTTACTTACTTACTTACTTTACTTACTTACTTACTTACTTACTTACTTTACTTACTTACTTACTTACTTACTTTACTTACTTACTTACTTACTTACTTTACTTACTTACTTACTTACTTACTTTACTTACTTACTTACTTACTTACTTTACTTACTTACTTACTTACTTACTTTACTTACTTACTTACTTACTTACTTTACTTACTTACTTACTTACTTACTTTACTTACTTACTTACTTACTTACTTTACTTACTTACTTACTTACTTACTTTACTTACTTACTTACTTACTTACTTACTTTACTTACTTACTTACTTACTTACTTTACTTACTTACTTACTTACTTACTTTACTTACTTACTTACTTACTTACTTTACTTACTTACTTACTTACTTACTTTACTTACTTACTTACTTACTTACTTTACTTACTTACTTACTTACTTACTTTACTTACTTACTTACTTACTTACTTTACTTACTTACTTACTTACTTACTTTACTTACTTACTTACTTACTTACTTTACTTACTTACTTACTTACTTACTTACTTTACTTACTTACTTACTTACTTACTTTACTTACTTACTTACTTACTTACTTTACTTACTTACTTACTTACTTACTTTACTTACTTACTTACTTACTTACTTTACTTACTTACTTACTTACTTACTTTACTTACTTACTTACTTACTTACTTTACTTACTTACTTACTTACTTACTTTACTTACTTACTTACTTACTTACTTTACTTACTTACTTACTTACTTACTTTACTTACTTACTTACTTACTTACTTACTTTACTTACTTACTTACTTACTTACTTTACTTACTTACTTACTTACTTACTTTACTTACTTACTTACTTACTTACTTTACTTACTTACTTACTTACTTACTTTACTTACTTACTTACTTACTTACTTTACTTACTTACTTACTTACTTACTTTACTTACTTACTTACTTACTTACTTTACTTACTTACTTACTTACTTACTTTACTTACTTACTTACTTACTTACTTTACTTACTTACTTACTTACTTACTTACTTTACTTACTTACTTACTTACTTACTTTACTTACTTACTTACTTACTTACTTTACTTACTTACTTACTTACTTACTTTACTTACTTACTTACTTACTTACTTTACTTACTTACTTACTTACTTACTTTACTTACTTACTTACTTACTTACTTTACTTACTTACTTACTTACTTACTTTACTTACTTACTTACTTACTTACTTTACTTACTTACTTACTTACTTACTTTACTTACTTACTTACTTACTTACTTACTTTACTTACTTACTTACTTACTTACTTTACTTACTTACTTACTTACTTACTTTACTTACTTACTTACTTACTTACTTTACTTACTTACTTACTTACTTACTTTACTTACTTACTTACTTACTTACTTTACTTACTTACTTACTTACTTACTTTACTTACTTACTTACTTACTTACTTTACTTACTTACTTACTTACTTACTTTACTTACTTACTTACTTACTTACTTTACTTACTTACTTACTTACTTACTTACTTTACTTACTTACTTACTTACTTACTTTACTTACTTACTTACTTACTTACTTTACTTACTTACTTACTTACTTACTTTACTTACTTACTTACTTACTTACTTTACTTACTTACTTACTTACTTACTTTACTTACTTACTTACTTACTTACTTTACTTACTTACTTACTTACTTACTTTACTTACTTACTTACTTACTTACTTTACTTACTTACTTACTTACTTACTTTACTTACTTACTTACTTACTTACTTACTTTACTTACTTACTTACTTACTTACTTTACTTACTTACTTACTTACTTACTTTACTTACTTACTTACTTACTTACTTTACTTACTTACTTACTTACTTACTTTACTTACTTACTTACTTACTTACTTTACTTACTTACTTACTTACTTACTTTACTTACTTACTTACTTACTTACTTTACTTACTTACTTACTTACTTACTTTACTTACTTACTTACTTACTTACTTTACTTACTTACTTACTTACTTACTTACGTAATCGCTCATCTACTGACTCGTTCGTTTACTCACTTGCTTACTTGCTTACTCATTGGATCGTTTTCTTAGTTTGACTAAAAGTTCGGCCGTTCGCTGAGTGAAGAATCGCTGAACTTACTTACTTACTTACGTAATCGCTCATCTACTGACTTACTCGTTTACTCACTTGCTTACTTGCTTACTCATTGGATCGTTTTCTTAGTTTGACTAAAAGTTCGGCCGTTCGCTGAGTGAAGATAGAATCGCTGACTTGCTGAATCGGTATCACATTACAGACAGGCAGCCTAACAGCTGAGCAATGACCTTCACATACAACCCTAGATTCATCAATACAGGATTACCTTTATTGTCCGTTTGAATAGGTCAAATGATAGCAAGTATCGAATATATATAAGTCAACTTTCTATTGACCTAAACTATCACAAAGTAACTGCACCACTTATACTCCAAGGCCACCAATTTATACCTCTTTGAGACCAGTCACTTCAGCACAACTGTCAATCAAATGTGCCGCCTGAGTCCGCCTGAATCCACAGCATGAAAGACCATCAGGAGGTGAGCCGACACAATCACATGACTTTCTAATGCGGTTGCACATCCGTGTGTTGGTGCAGCCACGACGCAAATGGCAGTCGATTTGACAGCTGGCATGTGTAGACTGCTAAAGGACATATGAATGTGTGAAGCACATGAAGCTCTAGGAAAGGAAAGGAGTGATCCAATGAGATACGCTGATATTCGCAAGGCGCTCACAAGAAGTTTGACATGCCGCAAAATGTCCAGTCTGGGCAGTTGGCCCGAGAAACGCGCGCTTAAGTAACTCAGTCAGATTTAGACTCACAACGACGGTTTTCAAACAGAACCAATCAAACACTATCGTTCAAGTTTGTAAGAGGCCTAGACAGCAAGCGACAGCATTCCTTTTTCAGTAGTACTTGACATGTTTGGATGAAGCATTCCGCTAAATTCTGGCTACAGAAAGGGTTCTGGTGCTGATCTTCCCTGAGCTGCTACAATTCGGGATAGATGCAAAGCATTTATGGTTGGAAGGAAAGTTGTGCCCGCTTCCGCAAAGCACTGTCGATTGTTCCACATACTTTGTGTAGTTAATGAGTAGCCTACACGAGATATTCTGCAAATGTGGGGAAAACCGTGCTGACACGTGCACACAATTTGAAAGCCAAGCCAGTGAACCGTTTTATCCGCTGGTGCCTAACGAGTCTCCTATACCAGAACGTTTATTGAACTTTTATCGACGTTTACGGGAGGTCAGACGAGGAGGCGATCTGCATACATGAACCGTCTTGAGAAGACTTTGAAAATTGTCAACCCTGTTATTACTTCCATAGTTAGAACTCACCCTTTGAAAGGTACCATTTATTGATATTCGTGCCGTTAGCAAATGAGATGATCAGGAGTGAAGCCGTTGACTTATTGAATAAGTCGAAAAAAGAATCCTGGATCGTCGCAGCGGCGTTAACTATGATATCCCAACTCTGTCCAATTCGGGCTGCACTCCCGGGCCATTATGTACTCGCTTCGGATTAACGGCTGTTTGTGAGCACAGCGCGCTACCCTCAACAGAGCAGCATTGCCACAAACCACGCTGTAACTGGCTGTTTGGTCATCACTGCTTACCAGACACACGGTATATGAGGAAACCGCAATTTTTCTTGTCTGGAGATCACCAAAAACCCAATAATTAGGTGGCCCGACCCACAACTGTATCCGCTGGGCAAAAGACGATAAAAATCTCTTTTTTTCACGCTGCTTGGCGCCTGCCAAAAACTGCGTCTGGATTTTTGCATGGGTGCTTCAGTGATAGACCACAAATGCTATATTGAATATCGTGCCAACTGAATCATGAGGTGGCCTGTGTGCAGCACATTCAGCTGGAGGACATCATAAACGAGAGATTCAATTGAGTCTCCCGTGATAGCCAAATTGATTTGCAAATGAGTGTATTTCTCGAAAACAGTGCAATTTGGGTTCAAGTAGATCATAAGGTTGACGAAAACTCGGGGACTGTGCCTACCTGATGAGCCCCAAGAAGGGCGAAACCGGTCGTGGGCTTTCGAAGAGTTTTCAGCAACCTTGTGAGTAGTTTCCTGTATGAGAATAAATCTTATGTTTATGATTTTTCTATCCTGTGCGCTTCGAATAGGCCAATAGAGATCGGCTTTTCCATTAAGAAGCAACCAGGGCGATGAGTTGCGCTATTTCATGCCACCAGAAATGGTATAAACAGAATAGAATGGTTCAAGGTGAACGCAAGGACTGATTCCTTTCGTGTCTGGTATGACTGATTGACGGACTGTCTGAAAATTCAATTTCTCTGGTAGCAATGCACTGGTAAACATGTTACTCCAAGGTGACGGAAATCACTCGTTCGTTGGCCCACTCACTCACACAGAAAGAAGGACCTAATCCAGTGGTGGTCTTACATGAGTCATTGGGAAAGCTAATGGACAATGACACCCAGGACGTGAATGAGAAGGAATAGATTTAAGGGGAGGATTAGTGGGCTGAGTTGATAAAGGTCACAGTTGAAATATTTCATCGCGAGGCACACTGAATTTAGTTCAACATGTGTGACTCACTATGGGCCGGGTGTTTGTGCAACTGACATAGTGTCTGAGACTATAGGATAATTAGTTTCAATGTAAACCCAAATCCGCGGCTAAGAGCTTTAAATAAGTTGTCAGAGGAAAACAGTGTGAATAAGTCCATCTAAGCGAAGTACACGCATTCGCAAATCAACTTGGTTTTGCAAGACTAACCTGGAACCCATGTTCGCAAAAAATCAACTTGGTTTTGCAAGACTAACCTGTAACCCATGTTCGTAAACAACTGAATGTGCTGCACCAGGCCGCCCCATGTTTTAGTTGGAACGATATTCGAGATATCGCGATATATTTTGTATATTAGCATTGTGTGTTATTGTTATATATTATAACCCTATCTGTAGCACTGACCAAGAGTACATATCTACCGATAGAGACCTCATTTTTATCAGTTGATTCAAGTGACTTGGGCAAAACCCTTTCCGGGTGTAATGCAAAAAGTCCTATATGCGTTTACCAGCCTTCAATAGTGAATGACCTACATATTATAATAGTTGTATTCTGTTTAGTACAGTCAACTACAAGTGTCGATAACAAAACAGCAGCAAAAAAGATGGGGGCTAGTTGAATCTGTTATTCAATTCTGCCGGGGGCTGTCGCTTTAGCGGTAGACTGATATGGTGAGACATAGTGCGGTCGCTGTACTGCGATGTAGCGTCTATATAAAAGTACACTTCACCTAGTGCCTTAAATGCGCGCGCACAAAAAGTGGTTGTGGTATCACGAGGTATTGCCGTTGGTTCAGACTCTACGGATGTTCAATCATGTTTCCCCTAAATCTGGCGACATCCTCACTATTAGGAGAACCAGCTCCGAACGTAACGGGACAACATGACAGCCAATGGAATAGCCGTTTTTTGTTGGGACTGATTTTATTGGTTGTTGTTCGCTCGTCCTTGACAGATGAGCTGTGCTCTTAGCATCACTTTTTTGACCCGCTTGTACGCGACAGTGATCACACGTTCATTGACTTTTTCTGGTTTGGTCAAGCACACCAGGCTATCAATCGGCTATCCGGACCAGAGTTCACGGTCTTAATAAGAAGGCATTAAGGAGACTCTAGTCCACAACAGTCAATAAGATGACAGTGTATGTACCACTGAACATAAATGACAGAACTTTCGAGATTTATTCAATCCCGGTCGAATTTCCGGCTCATCCTGTAGCTGTCGTTTTTGACCACACACGTGATCACCAAATTAAATCTACGTTGATATAATATTAGCTGATAAATTAAGATGATGTGCACCAATTTAAACCGCACATCTTACATAATAATCGATATGCTACATCTAGACGGCCTTGTGTCTCAGTCCAAGCGTGCTGTTTTTCAAATTTTGATGCGTGACATCGCGTGATACCCACGTGACATCACGTGCAGTGTTGACGAAGGACAATACAAGCGGGGGATTTTGACTTAGGTCTCCACTGTGCTACATTTACTCGTCACATCAGTTTAAACATCAAAGTTTTCTTCCATTCGCTTTGCCTGAGAGTATGTTTCCAAATTTAACCTCAGGTTTAGTATCCCCAGAAAACTATAAAATTAGCATAACCAGGTATTTTTAAGACGATCTGTGGGGTCATGAGTATAACTCAACAAACGTAAATAATAATATCTAAAAATCAATTTTCTTCCGTGGCCGGGATGAAATATGACGGAAGGCTAAGCAAACTCATCGGGAGAAGCGTTCTTCCCAAAGTGGAAACAGTCAAATCGATTGACTTTATTTAACATTCGAGTAATATTTGACATATTTTGGAGTTTGATGTGACACGAGTGCCGATTACGTTTGATCAATTCTCATAGAAATCCACCGATTGGTGTTTCAGAGATTAGCAACAGGACCCTTCAAAATGTCGGTTATGCATTCAGCTTGGTACCTTTCAAGGCTATTTTTTGGTGGCGCCAAAAGATTTATAGGTGTGTCTACCTCGAATCGCGCGATATACCTTCAAGCAAAACATTTAGTTTTTGGCTTGTTTGTCTAAATTGATGACGTTTTTCCGGCACTCGAGGCCGACTTCTGTCTCTCGACTTCCCCTGTTTAGACTCACCATCGTCGTTCATGTGTTTTTTTCTTAACTTGTTTACAATCCCTATTTATTTGGTCGCGTTTTTTGTTACTTAATGTTTATTTTTGTACTGGGAATTTACTTACTGTTTACTTATCACAATCATCCCGACTTGCTTACTGCTGCAGACATTCTCGTAGTCAATGGGGATATATAGCCGACAGCAAGAACGCCACTGCAATTGGTCGGCATCCGTGTCTTATTGTGTGTCCAATCAGGCACAGGGATGAGCACGCTGTCCCCATCCTGGAAGGCGAGTAGCACCGACAACACCGAAGCGTTTCGTGATCTCCTTCATAGTCCTCTGCCATGTCAAGGGTTGGCCACCTCTCGGTTTACGCCACTCTGATTTGGGCATGGAAAACAGTACTCTCTTCGGCAAACGATGGTTCGGCATACGCAACACATGTCCCAACCAACGCAGCTCCTGGTGCTGAATAATAGGCGCATTACGACACACTGACCGGATTTCTGTAATATATACATCCTCACCACCTTGCCTGGTTATAAGACCAACAGTGTTTTTCCGAATGATGTTCTTCTACGTAAATATATGGGGGAGAATTGTTGTCCCAGCACCCCAACTTGTACTGTTCTTGTCTTATGGGAAGCCAAACTGCACACTGTAGTTAACACAAACAGAATGAGGACCAAACACTAGGGTGAATAAGAGAGAGAGACCATCACTTTTCGTTCGTTTGGACCCAAGCGGCTAAAAAGAATCGTTCAGCTTCAAGACCCTTCCAGGACCTAGCTGTCATGCTACCCGAATAAAGCACGGGGGCTGAGATACTGTTAGGTTGCTCCAGACAGGTGAAGCCGAGGTGCAGGGGTCGGGTTCGAACCATCCGCACTCTAACCACTTGATCCATCTCGCCCCAAGCGGCCAGGAGATAAACGATGCTGTCACAGTTCCACCATGCATCTTAGAGTACTAGATGAACGACGGACAATCACGAATGACCGCAACTAAAAGTACAGGATGGTGGTAGACACGTGGTGTTGTGAATTTCTGCAATTCGTGGCACGTTGGAGGGTGGACCGTGACAAGGCATCAAGTGATACTCGCTGAGGGGAGCAGAGCAAACTAATGAGTCGTGGTTCGCCAGTCCGCTCTTGCAGCAAATATTGCTTCTTAATTCAAAAACCTTACCTAACCAGCCACAAAATTTATGGAGCAACCTGACACGAGGTCCCTGCAGGATAGCAGACTGTTCACCCACCATGGTGGTAAAAGCCCTCACCAAAAAAACGGCTAAATTAGGTTCACATCCATGCCTGCTTGTAGCCATTGGAGAATGCCCAGGGTGTGAAGATTAGGTGACATCGATATCAAAAAGGCACTTTTGGAAAAAGTGTGGAACCGATTGAGAAGTCATCGTTTCCGAATCTCTTGGTAGGCCATAAGGCCGTGGTCGATTTGCACTTTTAGGGTAGAATCGATACCAATTGCCTTGCCCAAGTGGTATGTCGCGGACCGCAAATATTTGCCGACTTCATCTTTACTCCTGTTCACAATAGATGTAACATTCGCATTATCGATCACCCGGTAAGGACCCTCAGCTAGGTGTTGCTTGACCTTCTGTAGATAATCACTCTTGTTCCTGACAGTAGTCGCCTTATTCTTATCCGCCTTTGCGATTATTATGCTGCCTACCTGTTTTACGGTGTTTCACGCTCTTTGCAATTTTTGAAGCTCCTGGCTGCCTTCACTGGCAGGGGTTTTTGAAACACGGATTCAACGCCACGGATTGGTTTATTTATCTATTTATTTATTTATTGATTTGCTTGTTTGTTTATTACACCTTGTTTGCTGAAAATCGTATTGGAATAAAAAACGCGTTTTGAGCATAACGGTTTCAACGTGATTTACTCCACCAACCAACCTAAAAGTTCTGATCATTGCTCAAAAATGAATCCAATCAAAGCCAAAAAACGAGAAGCACTGTTCAGTTGTTGCCACCCTTCAGCAGTTCGGTTACTTCCACTGGCGCGTCTTGATAGTCGCAAAAACCAGACAGTCACAAGTAGCACAAAACGGCTTCAAAACACCTTGAAAGTGGAATCCTGTAAAAGAAACGTGAACAGGAATGCATCTGAACAAAAGGTACCACGTGCGAGTGGTGCCAGGAATCAGTGAATGAAACCGGATTTTATCTCCAATGGTCACTCAATGTGTTAGGCAATGAAAAAATAACTACACTTTCTCAAGTTGATCCACGTGGTTATTCTGAAACAATGTGTCCCACCAAACACCGGTCTGGTGTCTCTTCCAAATGTCTGCTTTCTCCAGAGTAACAAGGAGTGTTGGAATACATCTCAATGTGTCTTCTAGAAAAGTCGAGAAGAACCGCTCTTCTATTGAATGTGCGGCACGAAGTTCATTCCTGGTTGTTACAAGCTAGAATACCATAAACTCATCCTGCCCATGGAAATACAACTGAACTGGTATTCTGGTAACCAAACTGTTGGGTGAGTTATACCGTACATTCTCGAGCATGTGTTACCCAAGCCTCTCCCTTTCATAATCAGACGCGTTGACGGATGTAGAACTTTGGCGTGGAGAAAACAATTTTTTTGTGTAGCACAGTAAAAAAAAATGATGTGGAACTTCGTAGATAGGAAGATTTAAGGCATCCGATATGTTTGTGGATTGTACTAACACGGAAAAGCGTTGGCCAACATTAGTTATATGGCTTTATCCCGAAGGATTTTGCAGAGTCCTATCCCTGAGATGTTTTCTGTTGCGATAGAGAAAGTACAATTGTGTGACAACTTGAGTTTTGAATTTTGTTCCAATCACCCCCTGTTTGTACCTTGATGGGAGAATATACACGACATAGGCTTAATATACTACTCATAAGGCTTCTGAGAAGTCTTCTACAGCCCACGACCGGTTTTGTCATTCTTGAAGCTCATCGCGATAGTTTAGCAGCATTGCTTTCAAAAGAGGTCGTACACCTCATCATTCCCCACCCTGGACATATTAGCGCACTCACATTTCTTGTAAACAGGGCCTTAGCAGGACCATTCCAAAAGCCGAAATGTATTCTTCTTGCTGTTGAGTGGCACAGACAACAGGGAAATTTATTTATTTTGAAGGGGCTTCTGCGAGTCAAAATCAACAAAGATAAAAGTTATTTTCATACAGGAAACTACTCACAAGTTTGCTAAAAACTCTTCGACAGCCCACGACAGCCCCTTTTGGCGCCCATCAGGTAGACGCAGTTCCCGAGTTTCCGTCAATTTTATGTTCTACTTGAACCCAAATTGAACTGCTTTCGAGAAATACACTCATCATTGCAAATCAAGTTTGTTTTTTTTCACGAGCGACCCAAATGAATCTCTCGTTTATGATATTCTACAACTGAATGTGCTGCACACAGGCCGTCTCATGATTCATTTGGCAAGATAATCGAGATATCGCAGTTTGCTGAAGACTCTTCGACAGCCCCGATCGGTTTGTCCCTTCTTGGGGCTCATCGGGTAGGCGCAGTCGTAAACGAGAGACTCCATTGAGTCTCTCGTGAAAACCATATTGATTTTCCAATGAGCGCACTTGTCGAGAATAGTCCAATTTGGGTTCAAGTAGAACATGTGGTTGACGGAAACTCGGGGACTGCGCCTAGCTGATGAGCCTCAAGAAGGGCAAAACCGGTCGTGGGCTGTCGAAGTGTTTTCAGCAACCTTGTGAGTAGTTTCCTTTATAAAAATATACTGCCATATCTTAAGGGCACCGGGTACGTGTAAACGCTAAACAAAAGCTTTCGGGAGTCTTGAGTGGCACTTCTCCACCTGGATATGGAAGGATCATCCAGTCCACCCTGCCGCTGAAATAACAACCTGTCCAACCTGGTCCGCGTTGGTGAGCTTGCGGTACTAATGTCGATACTCGCAAACTACGGGTGGGCACATTCTGATGTATAACAACAAAATACGAGGCACGTGTTTAGCAGTGTACAACTCTGGGCCCTGCATCATCGGTTGTTAAACTCCTGATGACAATCACTGCACTTTGTTGGCGCAGTCAAACATCGGTGATGCAATCGCAATTAAAACGAATTCCTCCGCGTTTGTCGCTTTGGGTATCGCTTTGCTTTACTGTTATTATCAGCTTCTGCGTTTGTAAAGCTATTTCCCGTAAAAACGTGTAAATAAAGAATGATTTCCCACTGAGTGCTTCGTCTAGCAGTTTTGATCAGTTATGAGGAGAAGATGCAATGCTCCAAACGTCTATCGAAAAAAAAGATAAACAGACCTAGACATAACACTCTTTTCTCAAGGCTGTTGGAAAATCTTTGACAACGCATAGCCAGCTTTACTCTACTGGAGCTCATTAGGTAGGCGCAGTTCCCGAGTTTGTTATGCTTGAACTCACATTGGATATACTTCGAAAAATACCCCCAGATGCAAACGGAGTTAGCTTTGACGAGAAATTCAAACGAATTCAACTGAATCCCTCGTTAATGACGGTCTACTTTAACTGGATGCGTCAGGCCGCCTCATATTTCACTTGGTACGATAGTTGCGATATCGCGATAGATTGAATACACCAATATCCTACTCACAGGGTTGCTGAATACTTTTTGGTAGCCCGTGACAAGTTTTGCTCATCTGTGGGCTAATCAGGTAGGCAAAAAACCCCGAGTTTCCGTCAATCTTATGTTCTGACTGAGTAGAATTCAATGTTGCCCCTCAGTACGCCCAGGTAGTCCCGAAAACTAGTCACCGATCAGTGCCTGTGGGTCCGTGGAGCCTAAAACTGTTGAATTACAAGGTTCCATCAAAAGTTGAGCTTTATTTGTGAGCTTGCCCGAATTTCATCACACCAAGTGTAGAGATTACAAAATTGTTGGATCAGTGATATTGTCAAGGGATTTGGTAATCTTTAATTAGCATTTCGTGGTATCACTGAGGCCAAAGTCTTAGGAGCCCCAGTTTATCGTTACTAGGAATCGTCGACAGTGTGCATATCACACCAGACTCAGAGAAATTCGAACCCGGGACCTTCTGATCGGAAGTTGAATAGTTAACTGTTCAGGCTTGAGTAGCTGAACAGCAGTGTGATTAGATCTCACCTCGACAGGATATGGCGCCAATAGCAGAGCAACATCACGTGACCAGGTATTGACTGGCTCTTCGGCTGATGACTCATCATATGGAATTTTCAATCCGAGCCACTTGATGATTGATCGTAGTGTAAGGGACTTTTTAGTTTTCAGTTGATATTTCGTTTTCGTACTTTTTAAAAGCACTTTTCAGTTACTGATCAGACGAACCAAATGAAAAACAAAGTATTTGACATCATCAGGAATTCGTTCTAGTATTACCCTGACAGGCGCATCACATGTGTGCGTCACCCGAAAGGTTTCTGTATCTTTCTTTCGGGTGTAACTACAAAAGTGTTCATTTCAGAGGTCTGTTACACTGACTAACGACTGTTTAGATTCCCTCTTGATTTCAATTTATACGTTTGGTCCTGATTGCTTTAGTAGATTAGTAATGTGTGGAAAAAAAGCTTGACTTAGGGACATTCATTGTTGGTTAGCCGATCGATGTTACAGCCTCCGTGCTTCCTACGAGCAGAGCGGCAACTAGGCGCCTTCCGCTGAACTGAAGGGCGCGAGGTGCCCACACAACGGGAAACGCCCTGAGAGACGAATTTGTAGAGACCTGACGATGAACTGGTTCTCCTTTGAGTGTGGTTACTAAATCCATCTTTGTACGAAGCGTACAGACAGTTCAAAGCTCATGACAAGCATAAACAGAGATAACACATCGTACGACTGTATTATCATAACCTTGGACAAACTGAGTGGTGTTCGGAGAGGATATGTCATTCGACAGAGACTGGTAGTATACACTTCATAAACTACATATGTGTATGCACAGCCTTAACATAAAACTTTCACTCGTTTGGCCCGCAGGAAGCTGTTTGGCCAAAACCCATCGTTGCATGTGGTATACGATAACTGACGCATTGTTTCCGAGAGTAAATTGTTTCAAACCACTAACCCTCGCAGTAGGTCGCCCCATACACTTGAATTTGTCCGTCACACACAATGGTTTTACTGCAGATCGACATTTTAGTAAACTTCGTGCTTTCATAAACGCAAAGTACAAATGCTAACTTGCGACAGAAACAACAACAAAGGGGATGAGTTTCAACCTTGGGTTTTCTACCCAATCAAAGAGCAACAGAACGTCGGGATTGATTGCTTGTTTTGCTCATTGCCGCCGCATCGCTTTCTCTCTCCCGCAAGTGACTCCCCATCCCTCGCGACCTCTGCTTCCATTGCCAGGTAACTTATTCCTGCGTCGGTACCGCATCACTGCGAGATTACATTTGACCATTTGACCGACATCCATAGCACAATGAATGTGAACGCGCGCACGAACCAATCAACATGTCACTGAGGCACGCATATTTTTTCACAGCTTACATCACACTGTGGAATTTGAAAGATCACAAACCCCCTACCAATACGAATTGAAAACGCAAGTTGATGAAATTTCATAAAAAAATAAACATTGTGTCAGGTGTTTTTCTGCGTATCAGTTGATGAAACGGGTATGTATTTCACCATTTACAAGTTGCGGGTGATTTCACAATTTTGAAATTCATACTTAGGTAATCTTATCATAGGAGAGGTAATGTAAGACCAAATTATTGTTTTTGTCCTTACTGCATGATATATTGACATATATGTATATCTATATACCCATATGTTAACACGATATATTCATCTTATTTTGCTGACGCTGTTGATTCTTGAAGAAATGTTACACCAACCGGAATGATAGATCTGGTGACAAATGTAAATTGTTCAGCTATAGCACCTTTTTGGTGTCTAGCTGCCATCCACACGAGGGTTGAGAGTTTGCCAGCTTGCGCATGCCTAGACAGGATTGGTCGCGATGCTTGGGTGGGGTTCGGACCGGCCGAACACTGGGTTGCCTCAAGCTCGTGTATTCGATTCGTTGTTACATCATACCCTTGACCAAAACTTAACCAACCATATTGAGAGACGAATGTATTAGGACAACTTCAATGCTCAACAACTCGTAGCATGTACACGCTGTAAGCATAGTAGGACAACTTCAATGCTCAACAACTCGTAACATGTACACGCTGTAAGCATGGAAGACGTAATGCTCTACTCACGAGGTTGCTAAAAGTTCATCGACAGCCCACGACCGGGTTCGCCCTTCTTGGAACTCGGGGGTTATCATTTAAGTGCATTTCCTGAGTTTCCGTCAACCTTATGTTCTACTTGAAACCAAACTGCACGAAACTAGCCGCATACACTCATTTGCAAACTAATTTGGTTTTGCGAGAGACTCACCTGGAACCCAGCAGAATCTCTTGTTTATGATCATAGGTTTTTCACTCCGCTCTGTTCCATGGACGTAGTCTAATTCCGTTGTGAGGCATGCCGACTTTAATAATCTCAATCTGTGGAGTTACATGACTTGTAGTCAGCTTACTCCGTTCAGGACCCTTGATATCCAGAAGAAGGTAAAAGTGTGGACGATTGTACTGAACCACCAATGTCTTTTTTCAGGAGCTGACAGACCTCTTCGTGCACGCGTACCTCCATAAACAGAGTCGGTGTGCTGAGAGTACACCGTATGGTTAGCATAATGCTTATTTATTACCAGATACATATTCTGATCACTATTCTGGAAATTTTCAGTACTGAAGTATCTAAAACACCATGATATGTGAGTAATCCTGTACCGGAAAACGATGGAAATGCCCTCAGCGTTCAGAAATCCAAGTGTACCAGTGGTCATGGAGGCGCATAATAGCAAGCCGCGTTTGGCATTGATCAACTGATCCAATTCACAAGGGGGTCTGATCAGGTGAGATTGATGTGCATAGGTCAGTAAGACCTAATACTTGCTCAAAAGTACAAAAAAGGCCGTAGGGTTTACACATCTGAACCCATTTACTCCGCCTAATTTTATCTACGCAGAAGACGCAGTGATTAGGACGCAGTGCTGCTGCTGCTGATGATGATGACGATGATGATGATGATGATGATGATGANATGATGATGATGATGATGATGATGATGATGATGATGATGATGAGGATGATTGGGATGATGATGACGATGATGATGATGATTGTGATGATGATGATGATGCTGATGATGATGGTGATGATTGTGATGATGATGATGATGCTGATGATGATGTTGATGAAGATGATGATGATGATGACGATGATGATGATTATGATGATGATGATGAGGATGATGAGGATGATGAGGAGGAGGAGGATCGTGTCTCTCACGAGGCCCCTGCCAGTGGTTTGAACGCTGAAGCTTTCGATCACAATCCAAGAATCAGCATTCCAATTAACTCGCACTGGGATTCACATCACATGGTCACGTGTTGACTGGTTTCCCTTACACTACGGAATATCAGGCCTATCTGATTGATCCTTCCATAATTCTGCTCCTGGGATTTTCAACTGACCTTGTTCAAGGATGTGTACCACACCGCACTGAAGAGCTTGAAGTGTGTTTTTCACGCCTGATAGACACTCCTATATTTTCACCAAAGGAAACCTACTTACAAGGTTGCTGAAATCGCCTCGACAGTCCGATCCCTCTTGGGGCTCATCAGGCAGATGCAGTCCCCGAGTTCGTGTCAACTTTACGTTCTACTTGCATCGAAATTGTACTCATTTCGACAAGTGCACTCGTTTGCGGATTGATTTGGTTTTCAGTCGAAAAATGTCATAAACAACACATTCGGTTGAGTCTGTCGTAAAAACCAAATCTACATGCGAATGCGCGTTCTTGTCAAAGACCCTCATGTAGTTTACGCAGCTGTTCTTGGCGAAACTCTGCAGCCTAGCTTTCTATATCAACCCGGCCTGTTGGAATAATTCCGTGAGCTCCCACTGATATCCTGCGAGTACACGTTAGGTGCACAGGGAAGATCTCTGATCAACTGCCTCTGACGGACCGTGTAAGAGAGCTGTTCCAGTGTGTGCATTAGTGTGTGTAGAATTTCTTCAGAACGCAAGACGGTTCAGTTGAACCATTATGTAAATCCGAGCTCCCGCAATTCTTATTACGGACAGAAACGAAAAATTCTTTGGGTTAAAACAATCAAAGCAACCCACATAGTTTATCCGGTTCTCTTTTATCGAACCACGCAAAGCCGGCTAAAAAAATATCTAAGCGCAGCACCCTTTGGTGCTCGTTAGAAAACAAATGCAAACTATTTTTAAGCAGGTGGACAATGCGCAGAGGCAGTCCAGTGTGTGTCAGTTAAAAGCGTAGGAACTTTTCGACGCGTACAGAACACCGTCCGATCCAATCCTGCATCCTCTGCATTCTCTGCGTTTCAGAGTGTCGTACCACAGGAAACGCTCAGTGTAATTTCCATTTTTTAGAAATTGGAAATTTCTCACAAGACACTGTCGAACCGTGTGCATGCCGGTTGCTTCGAGAATGAATTTCACAGCTGCCAGTATACACAGACTGATTACTCAACCAGTTCAAGCCCTCTAAAAGTATTTCTTGCAATTTAAGCTGTTGTTATATGAAAGTGTTTTGGACCACGTGAGTAACCAGTATCGGATTTTGAAATGAAAATAGCTCCCGGAGTTTGAATACGAAACTTGAGCTACAGTCAGCAGTACAATCTCCGATATCACGTGGTTTGACGTTGTCTGTCTTTCCAGATGATGACTGTTCAAAAAGAAAGCTCACGAAGCCCCAAGAAGGGCGAAACCGATCGTGGGCTGTTGAAGAGTTTTCAGCAACCTTGTGAGTAGTTTTCTTTTCAAAAAGATACTGCGATATCTCGAATATCGTACGCAACATGAGGTGGCCTGTGTTCAGCACATTCAGTCGTAGAACATTATAAACGAACGACTCCGTTGAGTTTCCCGTGAAAACCAAATTGATTTGCAAACGGGCTCACGAAGTTCTTTCGTAAACGAGAATGCTGATCTCTGAGAGTCTTTCGCAATCAATAACACATTTTTCAGTTCATGGAAATTCTCAATATTATCCGAATACTTTTGCTAACCGAAAACTTGCATCTAGTTTGTGGACTTGGTTAAATTGGAGCGACCTCAGGTAACGAACACAAGAGTTCAGCGCTGATTGCTACAGCACAGCTTTTGAGCAACATGACTGAGGTAGAGGACCGATAGAACGTCAGGTTACCCAAGCCTAAGAGGGATTCGAACAATGAGTTGATATCCCACCTTCACCAAAAAAGCTCATAAACTGCTCTCAAACGTTTTCATCGCCAGGATGATAAGGTTGATGGAAACTCGGGGAATGCGCCTATCTGATGAGCTCCAAAAAGGGCAAAAGTGGCGAAAGGAAGAAGACCTTCGCTGCGAAGTTATTTATTACAAAATGCCAACTGGCCAGTTACAGACTATTGGACAGGGAAGCAAAACTCTCATTTGCATCTTATTTACAAAAGCTAAACATCCATCTTCTCTTGAACAAGTCTTTCTGAACTTTCCCAGATATTCATTGACTCAAGTCATTCATTGCTCAAATCCAAGCAAATGCTACGAAGCAACTCCACAAATTCCACAACAGATCTCTCTTTTCAAGAGAAGCGAATTGAATTTAAAAGAGGAAAACATGCTACTCGCATGCCTCTCCCATCGGTAGTATCACCGTTACACTGGTAGTGAGCTGTTGAAGTGCTATCAGCAACCTTATGAGTAGTCTAGACAACAAGGTATTGCGATTCCCCGAATATCGTACCAACCAAAATGTGAGGGTGCATTACACTTAGTTGAGGAAGAACGTTATAAACGAGAGACTCAACTGGTTTTTGGCTGAGTAATCCATCAGTTGAAGATGATTCTTCTCTCTCCAGCCGCGTTAGACGGAGGGTTGGAGTGATTTACCCTACTTACTATTCCAAAAGCAAGATTATGGCGCAGTACTTCAACATATAGCAATCGTTATTGTCTCATACTTCGCTGTGAATGCGTTTCATCTATCTAATCACAATTCGACGACGCTATGTGTACTCTATGCACAGTAAACCAACCAGCGACAGCAAAAAAATATTCCGGTTTCAAAGTTACACCAAAAATTGGCCTGGCGTGTTTTTTTGTTGTTCAAAAAGAACCTCCGGACTCTCTGTTTTCTGCCTTTTGGTTTACAGAAATCGCCAGTTTTAGTGAACCCGAAAAGTGATCCATTTAGGTGCAGTTAGTCCGGAAATATGCAGTTACTTTTTCCAATTACGTGCAAGGATGTTTTGGTGTCGATCAGTCGCAAACACGTCACTATTTTTCAGTTGCATATCACAGGTTTTCGACCAAGCATCCTACCATTAGTTACGGCAAACAGTATAAACACTTGTCAACAAAATCCCTTCAAATTATGGGAACGTACTAGAATGAGGTTGAAAAATGTTTCCTATTGCTGAGAAAGTCGAAAAAAACATGGATGAAAGTAGTAACCGCCAGTTCCTTTCAAGGTATCCGCGCCTTCAGCAGACGGGTCGAAGTTATGCTTTGCTCGACGCAAAACTTATGCAGTTGGAAAACCAACATTTTTAGTAGATATATCACCCAGAAGATGTGGAACTGCAGAACCGAGTTCTTAGAACAATACTGGTTTCCCGTTTCAGTTCATAGTCCCAGTACAAAACCATAGCATATAATAAACGAATTTCGCGAGTGACCTTCCGACCCCTGGCTCTACGCTTTTGTTCCAACTGACTCACCAGTGCTATCCCAGAGTCACAAGTACATTCAAAGGTCTCCTCATACTGATCAAAATCTAAGCTGAAATCTGGTCAACCTAAAAAGTCAGAACGGTTTCTTGTGAAACGCCAACTGGGCTGTTAGAATTCCATCTGCTCTACACTTCAACTCACATTTCTCCGACATCTCATCTAGTTCGTAAGATGAGGAACTCAACTCTTCCATGTGAGGACGGATCGCGTTTTTCGTGTTTCGACTAGGGCTGATTCATTCCGTGTGAACGCAGTGTCTACTCAATCCCATCTGACGCGCTATTCTACTACGAGATTCTCTGAGTCAGTTAAGGTTTTCAGTCGGTCCTCACACAAAAGAATGAGTCAGGACTGTGAGAGTTCATTATGCTGTTACAGTCTGAAGGAGGCCAGATGGCTGAAGTGGTTAGAGCGCGAATTTACTGACTGGACGGTCCGTGGTTCGAATCCGACCTCTGCCTCTCGACTTCCCCTGTCTGGGCTTGGGCAACCTGGCAGTATTCCAGCCTTCGTGCCCCCTTAGGGTGGCATAGAAGTTAGGCACCGAAGGGGTGCTACAGCTGAACGATTTCTTTTCAGTCTCGAAGACCCCTTTCACCAGCCTGGTAGACATGCCGATGCCATGCTCTGAAACTCTCAGCCGTAGCTTAAAACGCACCATGCAATGTCCCACTCTTGCAGAATTTCAGGACACTGTTATCATTTGTTTTAAGCTACAGTGATCTTTTGCACACTGCTGGTTTTTTTCTGTATTAGGAGAACCAGCTCCGAGCTTAACGGGACTACATAACAGCCAATGGAATAACCGCTTCCGTTGAGACAGATTTCATTGGTTGTTCTCCACTCGTCCTTGACACATGAGTTGTATTCTTAGTATCACTGTTTTTTTAACCTGCTTGTATGCGACAGTGATCAACAGACCAGCTGGCTCGCACGTTCGTTGACTTTTCTGGTTTGGCTAAGCGCACCAGGCTATCGATCGGCTATCCAGACCGGGGTTCACGGTAATAAGAAGGCACTAAGGAAACTGTGATCCATAACCCTCTGCATATTTTTATTGGTCTGCGACCTGAAAGGTCATAGGGCATCCTTCTTTTCCTTGTCTTTGTAAACGAGTTCTGAATTCCACGTGGTAGGATCAAGTCTCGTACGTAAACCAGCAAGTCAAGAGAAACGCGAGCGGCAATAGGGCATCTGGAACTAAGCTGGTTGGGTTCGTAATGCTGGTGTCCACCCAGTTTAGCAGACCTACGGGCAAACCGTTGACATAGTCTCATAGTTTTGCTGCATGAGTTTCCACAATATATTTTGTTCATCTGCAAGGTCACGAAAATTTGAATTTTCCAGCTTACAGCTCATCCCAAGGTTTCGTAAGTTTGGCGCACGCAAAACATCTATTGATCTTTTAAGGTTGTCATCGCGTATATAGTCTAAACAGTTCGACTGAGGTAGAGCTGAGCTGTTTATCACATATTACGGAAATAACTTTGGTCTTCAGTTCCAACACTGACGATTCATCCTGATAGAAGCTTTTCGAATGGTCGTTTATCTATTTGCCGATTTCAACCAATGTAAATAACGAGTAATAACAATAATGGATTTATCAGGTGTGTGCTTAATTAGCGAAAACTCTTAGCCAAATCTTGTTCCAGCCTTTTACTAAATGCTTTGAATGGGTTGGAAAAAATTGTTCAGTTGCGTTGATTTCTACTTTTTAGAGCACAGGAAAACAGCTGCATCAAATTGCCATTGGCAGAGTATTCAAGAAATATCGCGTGTTGTAATTTCCAGAAAAATTACTCCGGTGACCTACCTGGCCATTTTGTCTAAACATTACTTTTGTCCTAAAGGAAGCTACTCACAAGGCTGCTGAAATCTCTTCGACAGCCCATGACCGGTTTCGCCCTTCTTGGGGCTCATCAGGTAGGCGCAGTTCCCGAGTTTCCGTCAACCTCATGTTCTACTTGAATCCATTTCAATGAAGACATTTTAGGAAATGTTTTGGGTCCTTCTGATGAAGATATTTCCAGTTGTTATGTCTCTCCCTAACGTGACACCGTCATAGGGTCCTAGAATAGCAACAACGATGAACCACAGTTTTGTTTAGGTAACTGTTTAGAAATCTTTGACGTGTGTTGCATTTTGTGGGCGTATTACACGGAATGTAAGTCAAAAACGAAACATTCCACTGACAAGAATAGCTATGTTGTAACAGATCGATAGGTCTAACGATTATCCATTGTTTTAACAAATCGATCTATGAAGATTGTTTCCCTCCTCACGTCTTTAATTCACTAATAATGGGTATTATTCTTTGATAAGTGGTCGAATGCAGACAAGTTAAACTGTAACAAAACGCGTATGACTACCGTTCGAATTGCACCACCCTTTTAGTCCCTGACCAATAGCAATCGAATCTGTGATAATTCGTCACAAGTTTCCATGAGGACACTTTTTGCGGGACTTTTTGAGATCAGCATGTGAGCAACCCATCACTTTTACACTGTGACTCACTCTCGTGAGCAATACTACTGTTTCACCCAGACCAGAACACGACTTCAGCAAATGAACACAGAGAGCTCAACTGCTTCACTCATGAGCTCCAGTTTCCCCCAAAACCTAACTATCATTGAAACAAAAAAGATCCCTAGTACAAGGGACAAGTCAAATATTTTAGTCTAAACCACTTGTAGACATGCCAGAATGTCTCAGAAGTTTGCCTTTAGTCACTAATGTGAACCAGAACTCCCCACGCCCTTCTTTGTCGGTGAATTGTACAAATGGAAAACTAACGGGACATACACTGGAAGGCCGTCCAGGCACAATACAACCGATCCGGGCTGTTCTCATTCGCCCCGAATGCCTAGAGAATTCCAGGCAACCTAACCAGTGTTCTGGTACGAGTCTTCCAGAGCATCTGGACTTTGTGTACCACGGCACTTGGTTTGTGTAATGCGTGGCTGCAAAAAAGGTCAGAAAGAGTGGGAAGCTATCTGTCTAATTTTGTTGTATTCCGTTTACCGTATTGTCTTCTCTGAATAAAATAGAAAACCGCAGTAGTATGACACTAAGACCCTGGTATCGGCAAAAGGCAAGGCTATCCAGTCGCCTGAAGTATTGAGTTTCCTACTGTAGTACCGAAATCTATCGATCCGGATTGATTATGGGTCGTGCGTTGTTAGTTCGGTTGCACTGA